CGTCGTCTGAATGTTCAGGAATTGATCTACCAGGAGGTTCACTTATTGACTTAAAATAGGCAGATGATATAGTCCTATGTTGTGAGGACGCTGATAAAATACACAGTCTATTAACGGCAATCAGCAACAATGCCAGGGTGTTTGTGATGCGTTCCTCCCCCTCTAAATGCATGTTGTTGCTTCAGGACTGGTCTGCGTCAACACCTGAACTAAGGATAGGGAGTGAAGTAGTCGAACGCGTCAACAACTTCATTTGTCTTGGAGGTCTGATCAACCCAAATGGGTTAGTGTCTGACGAACTCTCAGCACGGATTCGAAAAGCTCGTTTGGCATTTACCAACCTACGTCACCCATGGCGAAGGCGAGATATCCGTCTATCAATTAAGGGACGAATATACTGCGCAGCAGTTCTGTTTTACTTTAAAGCTGCTAAACGTGGCCATTAAGTATAGAAAATCCCCGTCACAATTTTCAACACCACAGCGGACAGAAATTTTAATTCGTTTTCTCATTGTTTGTTTTAATCTTAACCATTGATGTCCAGGACTGTAATTATTCAGTCTCATATTGGTATGCATCGTGTGTGAATTGCTTCGATATTGCATTAATTCACAAGCATTATAAGCAAAGACTGATAAATTGCGGTCCTAAACATCAATGGTAAGATTCAAACAAGCGATACATAAATAAAACTTCACTTCATTGCACAAGCTAGTGACTATCTGGACTCCGTAGCTAAGTGGATAACGCGATGGCGTTTGATACGAACGGTACTGAGCCCGAGTAATGCAGTGAACATCAACTCTGGAGTACAGGTATACTGTGCGGCAGTTCGTTCTGTTTTACTTTACGGTTGCTAAACGTGGCCATTGTGAGTAGAAAATGCTCATATGTTGCTGGTATTTGATCACAGCTGTCTTAGAAATATTGCTCGCATCTACTGGGATCACCGGGTAATTAATAGTAAGGTTAGACGCGGGGTATTCCGAAATAATGGTAAATCAGTTGATGAGGTTGTAAATCTTCACAGCCCTGGATGGTTGGCCACATGTTACGTATGCCTGAACACCGATTACGACGACACACAATGCTGACTAGCGTTGGGGATGGTTGGAAGGAAGCTAGGGACGGCCAAACCAAAACGTGTCATCAGTCCTTGAAGTTACTAACTTCTAGTCTGACCCATGTTGGTAGATACAGACCACTAGGTTGAGGTCCGCGCTGCTATTGTAACCGATGGTTGTGGACTGTGGGTGACATGGCTCAGAATCAATCACAATGGCGTAGGTGTATACACTGTTTGTCTTCCCTTAAACCGTGAGATTAAAATCGCTTTATATCTTTATTTCTACGAACTAATTCTTTCTTCCTGTATCATATAGTTATATACCATCTTACTTTTATATATTACTACCATTGAAGTAACTGCTTCTATGAATTTGATGTTCATCTTGTTGTGCTAATGAGGTGTGGCAACTCGGACGGATGTATATATGTGTTTGGTTCTAGGTTGTGGCAGGCTTAATTACTGACTAAGGTAATATTCATTACGTATTCATAGATGGGAAGTGCAATCAGCCAGCTCCGCACACCTAGAATTTCGCAACGGCGTCAAACCAACCTCAGGCCTGTCTGCATTTGTTATTCCACACGTTCTCCAGCAACGCAGTAGTATTCACAACACTGGTGAATTGTCTACTAATATTATTTTCATGCACCAAAAAGATGTTATGTGACCAATAAAAGCAGAAGCGTTCCACACATTTCTCACACCATGTGATTAGGTCAACGCATATCAAACCCATAAGAAAATTTCACTTTCCTAACATCACTTGGTGCTGTTATGGAAGCAATGGAAGCGGTTGAGGTTTCGCAGAAAGATAAGGCGAACAGTATAGTATATGAATGTTGTGTAGTGAAGGGATTAGAATTGGGTTTAGTAATCAGGTATGAGCTATTGACACAAAGTAAGACTCAGATAGGTGCTGACACTCAGCCAGAGCAGCTGCTTGATTTTAGAAACGATGGGTAAAAACCTCGGTAAAAGTGACGGTCGACGCAGTTGAAAAGAGCCAATGGAGTCATCAGTCTCGGGGGTCCCAAACAATCATCAGGGTGACATTCACAGGTTGCTGTAAGGTAATTCAAAAGCCATTGCATTGAATGGTGGGGAATTAGGGAGTGCGGTAGTAGTAGTAAGGCATCAAATCGATAACAGTAGTTCCACGCCCAACAGACAATGGCTTCAGAGAATTCCAATGAAAATTCAATTCTAGTTGCCTCGTCTGATAAAAGAGTATAATTATATCTTCACATTCTCAACGAGCGTCCCCAATAGTGCTTGCTAAAAAGAAAGCCGAAACGATGTAACTGAGATTACGGAAGACAAAATTCCACTACGCCGAACGATCCACTTACCGTGCCACTCAGTGACGAAGTTTTAAAGCTAGTGGCGTGTGTCTCATGGATTTTGACGTTGGGATTAGCACCAGGCAACCAGCAAGTTGAGGTAGATTCTAAAGATGGAGTCAAAATGCCAGTTGTTATTCCGACGGGGTTATCGGTTACAAATTATACCCTTTGGACTAACCAACGTCCTTAAAAGCCTAATTACAAGGTATGTATCGAATGCTAAGACGACATTGTTGTTTCTAGCAGTATAGTAAGGCAACATATACATCTCTAGCTATCCCTACAGCGTCTTTGTGATGTTGGGTAGAGATCCAGCTTAAAAAATGTCACCTGTGTAAAAAATAACCTGATTCCGCCATTAGATTGAACCCGACCGTGTTCACAAATCTCCAAAAACATGATGGCTCTAAAAAAACGAGTCGCAGTCATAGTCTTTAATCCCCAACCTCGTTGATCACCAGTCCAGAAAGGTCGTTGAGGAGGATAAAGACGTTTTGTAAAACGTTGATTACGACAAGCATCACCATTTGGGCATATACTAGGTAAACATTCATAGTGCAATTCACGATTAATACAGTTACTAGATGGTCCACAAGGGTCTTCTGAATTTGGTTTACACTCACAACGAGGAGCTTCACTTGAATCTGTAAGACGATAAACTCGAACAGAGCCAAGTGGCCAATTTACCTACATAAGAAGCAATCATAAAACGAAGAGTAACAGTCAAATATACATATACTTATATACCATTTGGGAATAACAATTTATATTGAATTCAGTTGACAATAAACACATTGAATGAAACTAACTATGCACAAAAAAACACGAAATAATTATCTTGATATCAAAATTCACGTTGAATATGTACTGGTTGCTGAATGTTTTGATTTAATTTCATGGGTGTCATATTTTCTGCTCCATTGTTATTCCCTTGTTCATTAACAACTTCTTACTTACGCCTGTTACTACCGATGGAGTATAGGCCACCTGATTCGTTGTTCTTCAATGTTGGTGATTACCGTGCCTTCCTTGCTTTTCACTGGTCGTTCTGATTTACGATAATTTCCATCGAGCTTGTTTATTGTATCATGCAATTGTCTCATGTTTCCTTCTCTTGAAGCCTTTTCCGCCGCCGTTTCTAGATGTTCCACATATTGTTTATTCAACCAGTCATAAATTATGGACATCGAGTAGAAGTGGTACAATGTAAGGTTTCAGTAATCTCAGAAATATTCCATGGAGATTTTGGACATATTGGAAAAAAAGGATGGTTCTGGAAGTTGGGCAAAGATATTAGTGATCTCGACAGCAGCATGACATTTAAAATTCTCCTAATAGTTTCCAGACTTGTGGCTGTATAAAATCCTGGTTAGAGATAGCGAGAGCAATTTACGTGCATGAAACGTGGTTTCTTCAATAGTGTTCTGGTAGTACATATAAAAGGTGACCCACTAATGGCTTACAGCATCCCAAATACTTCTGGACATCCACTTAAACACCTACTTAAGCTTAGTTCGAACATAATCTTCAAAGTTAACACCCAGAAACTAGAGGCAAAACGCAGTAGAACGGACTACAGACACACCACCTATTCCTTAAGAGTAATCAAATGCTGGAATTCGCTGCAGGCTGAGCATGTCCAAGCAACTTCTCAGGAGTCCTTTAAGAGAAAACTTGACATATTCTCAAGAGCTAGGGATAGTATCGTACCATGGTTTGCCTATTTTATTTTTACTCTCATGTCAACAATACACCAAGGTTCCTACTTGGAAGTATGAGTGATACACTGCTACTTAACACGGAAGCCCTTTGAGCGAAAACTTCTATTCCGTTCAAAACCACTTGAACTGTGGAATATAGCTGAAGTAAGCAAATAAATTCACGCGTAATATGATTGATAAATGTGACTTCAAAATGAGGAGAAATAATTACTGATATTATCCAAATTAAGTGCTTAGAATAGTATACCAATGCAAACTGGTCACATCAATTTTCGCAGATACCCCACCGATTGGGGTATGTTAATACGTTGGATTCTGAGCAAGTGATACTGTCTCGACTTCTATCAATAAAACCGATAAGAGCGTCATGTTTTTTCTTCAATCCAGGATGTAAAACGAAGCTAACGTTTTGTATTCTGAATGATAACTTTTGTAATATGTTGATTTCTGACGACTTTTAACCTAATCTACATATGCCACAGATATTAAGTGTTTTGCAAGTCTTTTGTTAGAAAGTTTATACGTAGGATGAGCGATGCTTCGAGAAGAATACAATCCGATCTAACTAGTTGTGAGGAGACCATAACACAGCTTGTCCAGTGGTGACCTGATGTGGTATCATGACATCTGTAGTGTCAGTTATTATGCCAAGCCCATATACCTTATTCTAGCTTCCGGACATCCCATTCTATTCATTCTACTCGAGCCATACTTTGACCTTGTTATTTATTCGCTTATCAATCTAGACTGTTTTTATATGAGCGTATATGTGTGTGCCCTTCTTATCCTATTAATCACATGTCTGTAGCTTTATTTTGTCAGACTATAAATATTGAGTAACGCTTGACTAAAATGGAGTTGGCTTCCCAGCCATCTTCCATACGTGTCATTTTGCTTTGCTATGCTTTATTCGCTTCATGTACTAAATGTATGTATTCTCAAGTCAATTCTCGTTATTCGACTTATTTGATTCCGTTATTGGATAACGCGATTTAAGTCGACGATGATATACGAGAAAAGGCGATAACAAACATCCATACAATTATCCGTACGCTCTAATTGGAGTCAGATCAACGGGCCACCAAACATCTTCATCCAGGGTGTGTTCAGTAAGAGAAATAAGATTTCGTTATTCCAAATCTTGCCCTACAGTACACCAACGATGATAATCTGAGTCGCATGATTGAGTGATCGCTTGAAATAGACAGGAATGGTGCGGTTAACCAGTTTAAGACATTTCTGTACAGCCAAACGATCTGGTTCAAGAGGAGTGAGACTTCACAACTTATGCACTGTAAAGGCATTAGCAGTCCATTATTTCAAGCCTGAACCCCGTATACAAAAGAATCATGTGCAAGTTATCAGTATTTCATGATGTCAACACTTCATTTTCATGATCTGTAACTTGATCGATAATATATCCTTCCAATGTACTTATTCCTTTTAACTTCAGTTAGGCGTTATCATCGTCTCCATGGCTGAAGTTAATTATTTACCTTCCACATTCAGGTTTTAATTTATTCTTCATCTTTCTCATACTCGTCAAGTGGATAACTGTCTTTCACACAGTTGACTTTATCTTAATATCTTTCTATGCATTTTTGGATGTTAATGCTCACTCTTTTACATGTGATACTGTGTAGTCGTGCCCCAAATTTCCAAGTGACCATTCTGTTTGTGAATTAACCATCATTACGACTGTTCAGATCAATTAAACGATAACGTCATAAATAAATAATGTTTCTTCAATGACAACATGGGTTGCTACATTTGTAGCGCGGAGTCGAGTCGCGATTGACTATGAACACCACTACAAGAAGACTACGTGCCATTTAACCGATAAAATCCCCCGTAAGCCAAACATCAGAAGGCAGTTGATGGCTGTAGTCGAGATGTATTTGTTGGCGATGTCGTGGTATCGAAAGGATACCGAGATCGTGCCAAAGGAGTACAAGCGTGGTTACCTAGCGTAACCGAACCCGTGCAAGGTCACAATCAATCGGAGGATAAGAAAGCAGTAATATGGCTGTCTTTAGCACAGTTAAACAAACGAGCACAGTAAAACAATCACTGGTACAATTAATTATAATTGTGATTGTTTCCATTAAATCAATCACGTTCTCATGGTAAAAGTAGGGCACTACATATTTATTATCTACTACTCACTTCCATGTGATAAGACGAAACTACAAGCTCACAGTTTCAACCAAAACCGAAGAATTAACACATTAGTGTTAACGTAAAATGATGGTTTTAGTCCCAGTTCTCTACGAACAAACAGTGAAGATCATTTGCCAAAACATTACAATCTATTATGTAACTCCCAAAATCTGTTTCAGATCCGGGGTGTAAAATAAATACAACGATGTTGATATTGGTCAATGTATCTGATAATTTCCTTGAACTTGGTGTAACATATCCACACATATCAATGACTACCATTTTCATATAAGCCATCGCAGTTGGAATATCAACGCTTAAACTGTGAATGAAACACAGCGTATTAAACTACTTCCGACCGCCAAACCAGTGCAAATAAAGGGATAATAACACAGTGTGCAGATTTGTTAGGCGATAAAAACAAATTCCAAACACTGATTCAGTAAAGG